TATATATATATATATATATACATACATATATATATATTAGAAAAACATACCTATATATTACAAAAACAGATACAAACCTACTTGGTCCCATATATATGTACCGGGGGTGCCAAAATAATGGATACACATGACTTGTATTCATCTTTTGTTATCGGTATATATTGACTGCTATAATGTTAATACAGTTTTTTTCCTTTCTTAAAATGTGTATCCATTTCTTTTGGCACCCTCTGCATGTATAATGTAAGGTAAGGTGAATTAGCATTAAGCGTAGTACATCAGCAAACATTATTTTTTCCAGTCATGTCCTAAATCTGAATACATTCATGTACTTTGTCCTTGGGCTCTTCCATAGAATGGAGAAGAGACAGGGATGGAAACAATGATTTCTTTAATGATGATTTTTAAAACCTCTAGTAGAGATAATGCCATTTACAAGGTTTGAGACTGGTACCTATTTATATCTGGAATACTTTGAATATGTAAAAGGAAGAGTTATACACTTTGTTTCTGAACTTTTCTCCTTTTCAGTGCATTGAGAAATTACAAGCTGAAGTGAAAGCCTCCCAGGAGCAACTTACAACTCAGGTAAGTGTTTTTTTTCTCCTGTTTCCATCCCTTAATTTATATCATTGTTACTCTGAACATGAACAGGAAATTTTCAGAAGTTATAACTGCAGTCCTTCTGCTGTAAACCAAACCACAAGGCTAGGAATCACTATTTTTACTGCCTCCACAGAGTGGCTTTCCGTAAAAGAATTCTGATGTATGTTGATGATAAAAATTACAAAACTGAGCTCTTCTTTATAACCAGATGGTTTAATCAAGTACCTTCAGGATAAGAGAATTGGAAATGAAGGGTAGAAAGACAAGGAAACCAGGCTAATTTAGTGAATGAATAGAAGTGGAAATTACAGACACATTGAATATAGGCCTATAGCAGTTCTTCTTAAACTTAAGAATTACCTGGAACACTTCAAAACACATTGCCTGGAGATTCTGTTTCCCTTATGCCTAGAGTAGACCTGAGAATTTGCCCTTGTAGGTGATGCTAGATTCAGGTAATGCTGATGCTGCCAGTCTTGGGACTACATTTCCAGCAGCACTGTTTGATATGCTTCATTCTGCCTCAATCTTGTGGTTTTTAGCCAACTGATCATATACACAAACAGACATAGAATTGTCCATTTTCTGCTGCACGTGGTCCCCTGAGAGAGACCCTGTGAATTTCTAGGGTAAATTTCATTTATCATTTATCCTGTTTTGCTCAGAGAACAGCGAATGAGCATCTCCTGCCAACACACCCTTGTGTATTGACATGCATAGACCAGCCACGGCCCTGCCACTGTCCCTCCCCAAAGATCTGAACAGCCCTGAAGCTTTAAGTATTTCCTCAAAGATTTGCTCCCATCCTTGTGATCTCCTCCATCTACAGCTTGGGGGCTAGGGGATGACCTCCTGATTAAGAACGCAGGCCAGTCCTGTTAAATGGCCAATTTGAACATCCACAGAATCCTCAGAGCAATCAGACCTGAGAGGCTGCTGTCTAGAATTCCCGCAGAAAAAAACTCCACCAAATAATAAATTCTAGTCATCCCTTTGGGGTTTGAAATGAGCTGATCCGGATAAAATCACAGTAATTGTCCCAGTTTTGTGCTGGGATACAGAAAAGCTAATTTGCTGTGGCAGTTAACAGAACCTTCAACTCTAAATTCAAAATCTCTTTTGACCTTGTATGCTCAATTGACCAATACCGAAAATGACTGAGGCCTGCATTTGTGACACTGTGATACATTCAGATAGAAGTATATCTCATTAGCCCAGTATTCTGTCACAGATGCCTCTCCCCTGGTCGGCCCCTCAGGGTGCCAAATAATGACTATTGTCAGAGGATATCTCCTCATGCCAGATTGATACCTAACATCCATATGCCCACGGGGGTTTAGCTCAGAATATCTTAGGGAGTGCAAATAATTTACTAAGGTTCCAATAATAACTTCCAGCATCTCTTCATGAAAAGCTGATGGAAAAAAAATGTAGTCACGGGTGCCTTAGGGAAATTCCTGTGGTGTCTTCTTCCCTTGCCGAGCTCCTGTGAATGCTATGCCTGTACCATACTGTTCCTGTCCCAGGCTTGTCTGAACTTGGATGGCTTCCTTGTATTAGGGTATGATACCAACGGCTTGACATTTCTTCTATGTAATTTTTCAATGTTTAGATTTTAATATAGCAGTGTAATCATAACAGTTTTACTTCAACTCATCAAGAATATTTAAATAAAAATAATATTAATAATAGCATTTACTGAGAGTGGATTATGTGTCTGCTACGTGGTAGGTGCTTCATATATTATCTATTTTAAATCTCAATACAACTCAGCAAGGTATTATTTTTCAGATAAGCAAACTGAGACTTGGGGATTAAATCATGTGTCACACATGTCAGTTCTGAAACACGCTTTTGCTGTCAAACTTGCTGTCTCTTCAAATTATATTCTCTACATGCCACTCGAGGTATCAAACAGTGTTTACAAAAGTTTCTCCTCAATTTCCTTTCTCTCTCTAGTCATACTGGGTGATTCATCAGCTCATAATGCTTGAAGTCGGACTTCCATGCAAATAAACAACTCTTTCTTCCCCCACCAAGTTCTTTACCTTAATCAGCCCCTGATTACAACTCCTTAGTTCTGTAACGAGCACTTCCTAAAACACTGTTCCTGAAAGAAACATTCCAAATTATGTTAATAGGCATTCTAGAAAAAAAAAAATGGGAAGGGCATTGGAAATTAAGTTACATGTGTTTTTATAGCAGGACTTATCAGTGTATAATCAATTTCCAAGAAAGGGCCATAGCATGTCAGTTTTCTAAGGTGTTTGACCATGAATGGCGTTTTAAACACACGTTTGGTGACAGCTGGCCCACTACATTGAATTAAAGCACTATGGTTGCTAAATATAACCTAACTATCTTGCAGACACCGAAGCTCAAATTTATCATCTTTTATTCCCATCTCTTAAATATGCTGCTCTGTTTGTATTCCCATGCCATGGTGAACAATACCACATTGCTTTTATTTATTCAAGATCCAAACTACAAAGCAGTATTAGAATCCCCTCTCTGCCTCCATCACACATTTAGATAGTTGTCAGGCTCCGAGTATGTTTCCACAAGTTATCTCACGTCTATGTCTTCTATTCCATTATGCTGCCACATTCCTAGCTATTTTTAATCATTTTATATGTTAATTATTGCTACTGGCCCCAAATTATAAACATATTTGAGCTCAGAGCTTCCCTCTCACTGCACACCCACCTCCGCCCCAATCACAATGTAGCCCACTGGCTTTCATACCATGAAGCCCTGGTTGCAGAGCAGAGAAAAGGTAAAGTAAAATGCATTGTGTAAAGATTTGGGAGGTGGGGGTAGAAAACCAGACAGAGCCAAAGACGAATGCTCACAGGGAGAATGGTGTTCTATTGGAGTGACAGAGAAGAGAACAGGTATTGAGGGGCCAAGGAACCCCATAGTTAGGGTGAAAGTTGTTTTGGGAGATTGAAATTTCCCCCGGGAGTTCTGGGGAATGCTTAAGATTATGAATAACAGAGGATATTAATAAGAGTTGGCAAGCAGTATGTGTTTGAACCCCCTTAAGTGTCTGAGAGTCGCATGTAAAGTTTGGAATTCCCAGATGGGCTGTACCCCCTCCTAAAGGTAACACCACCGTAGGATTTGACCACTTTAGTTGTCTCCTGGTTTCCCTGCCTCCACTCTGAGTGGAGTTTCTAGAAGGACCATCCTACCCCCGTCTCCCTCTTTTCACTCACTGCCCGCTCTCTGTCTCACACTCATAGTGAAATCAAATGAACTGCTGTCTTTCTTATTCACCCAGTGTCAGTTGGTGCTCTGTGACTTTGTTCTCTGTGTTCTCTTGGTCTGGACTATCCTTCCCTCTCCCCTTTCTCCACATAATTCTTATTCTTCTTGCAAGACTCATATCAGGCATCAACTTCTTCCTTCACGCTCAGAGAACCTTCTCTGGACTCCCATAGCCTTCTGTCCATATCTCTATTTTAGCTCAACATACTATATTTTATTGACGTTATTTGTTTATACATCTGTTCCCCACTAAACTTGAAGGTCATTGAGGGCAGCACCAAGAATGTATCGCTGTATCCACAACACCAAGGACAAGGCTGGGCACACTGCAACCACTCAATACATTTGGCTGAATTGGCTTTTACTCTGATCATGTCATTTTCCCTGTTTCCAAGCCTAGAGTAAGACAATGGTTGCCCCTTATCCCAGAATAAAGTCCAACCTCCTGACCACAGCATTTATTACACTGAAAATGAGAGCCCTTTTCCTGCCTCTCTTCCATCACACATCTGTGACCACCAAGCACACCCATGCATTCTGGCCCTAGGGATTTTGCTCCTGGTGACTTTCCACCTGGAATATCTGTCCCCATTTGCCAGGTTTTCCCCATTCTTCATCCAGACAATTCCTTCCAGGAAGTTTTCCCTGACCATCAGACCAGAGGTTATGTCTCTTTCCTTGTTATTTTCATAGCTCTTCTGTGCCTCTCTCTTTTGTCACGTGTCACACTATGACCCACAGTAGAATTATTTGATGTGGCCTAGCTCTTCCCCAAAACTGTGAGTTCCTGGAGAATAGGGAGCAAGTCTGTTTATCTTTATGCCTTTCACTGTGTCTTGCTCAATGCCTTGTACAGATTTCATTGAAATGAATTTTTTAAATGGCTAAATTAGAGTTATTTTGGTATTTATAAGAACCTACTTTAAATCTCTGGGGAAATTACTTTACAAAATTTTATTCCTTAAAAAAGAAAATTATATAAGGCATTACTTTAATCTGAAATTGACACTTTTAAGGTATATCATGAAAGGAACAAAAGATAATGATCTCATAGAATGGAAACAAGGAAAAATAACAGAGGGGGAACATACAGTTGTGGGAAACCCCTATTTCAGAAGAAGTAAGCACATCTAAAGGAAACTATGGTCCTAATATGAAAATTAACAATCTAGAGTCTTGACTTTGTTTTATTCAGAGTTCATTCATCTAGAACCCAATAGTAGAATTATATTATTATATAATTAAATTGATAGCTATGAAATGGAGAGGAGATATAAGACTATACATTTCAGAGTGGGTTGTCACTGCTAATACTTGAATGATTAAAATTTCATCCCATTAACTTTACTTTGCTTGGTCACAGTGTATACTTTCAAAATATTGCAAAGAGTTGTCACCCCCAAAGCATACACGGGTACTCACTCTGAGCCACCCACAGGACTAACCTTCCCTGGGTGTTTTTATCATTTTCTTCCACTGGATTACTTATTTGCTTAGAGACCTATGTGGGATTAAACAGTATTTGAAGTGATTGTTTACAATCACTTAAAGATAACTGTTCTTGTTAGGGCAATTTGAGTCAGGACTAAGAATCTCAAGGGGAAAAAAATGCCTTTAAAATTAATGCCTTCCAAACTGTTAAATCCATTGCTTGTCTATTTTTAGTATTTTGGGGGTACAAGTACTCAGCCCTGTCCATCCATTCCATCATT